CAACTATCGTTTAATCAAAAGATCAAAGTGGAATGTTTTCTTCACTTCATTGCTAGATGTTCAGAGACCAAAATAACTACAACAGTGACAATTTTCATGTAAAAGTCCTTTGGTCCTTCTAGACTGCCTGATCAACTTCTGACAAGATTACCCTGATGAATTTCCAAATGGAATAATCACTGAAGCATGTTTGCTAGCAAAAACATGCACAAGTCTTGAATCCAATCACAGTCAACATGGCACATGGGGTCATCATTTGTTAATTATGATTTCATGTTCATGATGGGGTCCTCTTGTGGCACACAGTGGTAGTGTCCCTACCCCTGGACCGAGGGGCCCGGGTTCAGGATATCTGCTCCATCTCTAAACAGGTTGATTAGAAAATGTTAAAACCATGGAACGTGAAAATGAGATTCACATTTTTGCACAGAAATGAATAGGGCCAGAAAAAGATACATTTGAAGGGATGTTGAGCCCAGTTCCATGTTTACCAAAAATATTTTTCATTAATATACCTTTCACTCATACAGTATTTAGTTTGGAAGTGTAACTCATTGTCTGTTGTCCACAATATCAAGGATAACACTTCAGACCTCATCGCCAAACCCTTCAAAATTCTTAAGTATGTTTATTTAATCATCCCTATTCTCCTTTCAGAGGAAGAAGTCCCCAAAATTGCTTACCCACTCCTCAGAGATCTGTACTTTCATTCTGGAATGAAACTATGGTGTCTCTTTTCACCTTTAAAAACTTAACATCATTTTTACTATTAGAACAAAACTCTACTTTAAGATGTGGTCACAATAAAGCCACAATTTCAGATCTATTTCTGTTGCCTTAAGCTGCTCCTCGGGCTGTGGATCCCAACCTTTAATTTGCCTGGCTGGCTATAAACATGTCACGAGTTGTAGCAACATTTTCATGAAAACCCCTCCTTAAAATATTTCCTTTGTAGTTACACCCCAATTCATGGCTTTTTCTTATTTTAAAAAAAAAAGAAAGAAAGAATGCGGTGAATTTGAGGCCAATTAAGGATGGGCAATAAATGTTAGCTTAGCCAGTGATGCTCATATCCCAAAAATGAATCAAACAACTTATCAATCTAATTTGTCTGAACATATATAAATTTTGTTTATATTGCCAGAAAGAAGTTTGCACAGTTCTCAGTGTCTCAATTCTGTCTTGCTTAAAGGTTGAATAACCTTTTTGAATTCAGGTATATCATACTTTGACAAATTAAATGTGATTTTGACAACATTAATTATCTTAGCCCATATAATCAGTTCTTTCAGTTTCAATTTACATCCAAGTTGCTTTTCTCAAGATAGTGTGCCTATGACAAATTGGGAGCCTATTTCTATTTAATAATTGATATGGTTGGCAAACCCCAGAGCAGCAAATACTAATGTTGTGACAGAGAGGGCAAATGAGATGAAAGGCTGGTTTGAACCAAGTCTTTAAGATGAAACTATTTGCAGGTTTTCATTGTACAATGCCATGAGGCTAACCAAAAGTAAAACATTTGGCTAACAGGATCATTTGAGACTTCTAAAGGGAGGTAACTTCTGCTCTTTTACGCAATGTCCCAGATAAGGTTCCCATTGCTCAGGTCAGGTTCACAAGCAATAGCCAATAGTGGTAATGGTAGCAGAGCTAGAGCCCCAAGGGACAATGGCTGCTTACCTACAGAAGATCCTTGGGGTACTGGATTTACATTTCTTTTACGCATGTAAGGAAAGCAACAGGAAACCACATCATATATTCTCTTCCTAGCCACATTGCCCATTTCCCATTGAAGCTAAAAATAAGAGGCTCTGGCAACCAGCTGAAGAGTAAAGTCTAGGGCTCTGATATATGGATAAATGAGCAAAAAGCCTGACTGTAGGCAGATCACCACTATATAATGCACTACTGCTCTCTCAAAACACAAAACAAATGAAACAATAAAACTAAAAGACTTACTCATCTCAGCTATTCTCCACACGATGTGGTGAAAACCACTACTGTCAAATCAAACTTAGTACAAAATACACCTATTTCGAATTCTCACAATCTCAATGACAGACATTCACATTCACATGCACATGCACTCACACAAAGTTAATCAATCTAGCTCTAGGGAAATAGCACCCAACATAAAAAAAAAACCAAGGTATTTCCCTCCTGTCCATGAGGGAAAATCCTTACACTCATTCTCCTGCAGCTGAGAAAATCCTCCCAGAGATGACTCAGGGTGCAAGTCATTTACAGAAACTGACAACAATGAAGGATTCGAAACTGCCCCTTAGACTGATAAACTACTCCTTAATCGTCCACTGTTTCCAGTCCCTAAGCCAAACCTGCAAACACACTGCTGCAATCTCAATTCCATGGACTTTTTAATAAACATCCTGAACACCTTGTAAGCAACTTCATACAACATTTACTTCACCATCTTGACTGGCCTACTCAGTTACTTCAAATAACTGAGTTACCCAGGCAGGATCTGCCTTTAATAAAGGCACATTGGATCTCAAGCAACCCACAAATTAGCAAAAAAACAAAAAAAAAAAAGTTTATTTTACCCTCAAGAAGTGATTAGTCATACTGTCCCCACCATTGATGTTACTCTGACAGGCCTGCTGATAAGCTTAATCCTGCTTTCCTTCTTGAAAGAGAGGATAACTTGACTTTGAAATATTGTGACACCAATTCTGCTCCAAGTGAAGATTAGTAATTATTTGAATATTGTGAATTTTATTTCTATTTTTGATTCTTTCAGCAATCTAGGATGCATTCCATCTGGACCAGGTGACTTACCAACCAATCACCATTGTATCACAAGGTATTCTTGAATATTTTGTAGAAATGACTCAATTGTTTGTGAATGTTACAACATTTAGCTGCAATTTAACTTTTATTCTCCATTTTTAAAATTGAGATTAAAAGTAAGATTGGCTAGTTGGGCACCTTGGGGGTGGAGCTGCCTGCTTATTTACGTGACAGCACACAAGAATTTAAGAATTAAATACCCAGTGATTTTTTTTAAAAAATGTAAACTTTGGAAAGTGGTATGTCCATATTTATGCTACATGCTCTGTTGATTCCTATTCCTGAATATTTCTCAAACTGTCATGGCATAAAACATGTTAAGAGTAGTGCACAAAAAATTCCAGAAATTACAAATTGTTCAAAATGGATTTAAAATAATATCCAGAAAAGGGAAAAAACCATTTTAAATGTTTTGTGTTTTTTTAAAAAAAAACCCTGAAAAATTGGCTAAGATCTGCACTTTTTGTTTTTTTGAATGTGTTTTTACCGCAGTATGAGTCATGTAAAAACTGGAAGGTTTCCAAGATTGCACAGCCTTCAAGATATGTGCCTAATGTGCACGAATGACTTGAAACTTGAACTATCAAAAAATTAGGGTGTGAATTTTGGGAACAACATTCTCAATTACATAATGAAATGAAATTCCAGCCCTTGATTTCAAGCAATTAGGGAGGGTTGGGTTTTCATTGCAATATAATTGAACCTGGGCTTTGTTAGTACTGAGGGAATAATCTGATATTTCATACACACTGATCAGGGAATCATATTCTTGTAGAAGCAAATGATGAGCTAAGAAAACTATTAAGGGGTTTGCTAAGGCTTGGCAGAATGTGAGGTGCTGTCAAATCACTGATCTTCAACTTCACTCATTTTCCCCAAAAGTTTAATTACTTATCTTAAAAAGAGGGAAAAAAAAATTTCACATTTGTTGCGCATTACCAATTTACTAAAATTCCACTGCAACTTTTGAACTTAACCAATTTACTACACTTATATTATTATGGTCAATAAATTTGGACACACCAATCTCTCAATGCTTCAATCAAAATCAACACATCAAGATTAAATGTTGAAATAGAATCTAAAGGGATACTACAAAATTTCCAACCACTGAGAAACTAATTCCAACTGTTTCCTCCTTTCTAAACAGTAAAAAAATTCAACTGCTTAAATCTTCTGTACTACTTTCCTACGTAACACTTTGTGGAAGGCTTTCAATGAGAGTCTATGTACATCACAAAGACTTTATCTTCATTCAGCATATTTGTTACCTCCTTAAAATGATTTGGATCAAGGTTGTCAAGCACATTCCTCCTTTCTGAAATCCACTTTGTTACTAAATAGTTTTCTCTTCATATAATTTCATTGATAGTTGAAAACTGCAAAACGTTTCCAAATGCAGATGGGAAACTAACCGGTCTGAGATTACCTGGATTAGCTTGGTCATCTTTTTCTAAAAGACCTTTGAAAATATTTATATAAAAATGTTTCTGCCTTGTCAGTTTGTCTGTCTCCCTCCACTCTCTCTTGCACAACTGTTCTGAAGCAGAACATGAAATTTTCTAACCAAAGCACAGCCAATGATTGAACCCAAATTTCAATTCATTCGTTCCTCTTCAGAAGATAGAACAAATTAGGTTGTTTTGCATATGGTCTCAACTTCAACTTTCCATATAGTTTGTATTAAAACCTTTTCCAGAGAACACACGTAAATACTGCAGTAAACTTGGTTTTTCACTGAAAGAGACAAACACACTATACAGACATTCCTGCACGTCGTTTTGTTCTTAAAAATTGCAATTATACAACCAGCTGGTGGATTTTATTGCCCAATTTCTTCATAAATAATTTGGAAAACAGAGGGTGGTAATGCTTGAAGAATCTGTTTTAAACTAATTAATACATAACTTGTTTACAGTGCAAACACAAAACACAGATAAGTTTTCAACTGGTAAATTTAAGATTTGGGTATTGCCGCAGAAGCCCATCTGCCAGGCTGGCCATACTTCATAAGTGCTACAGTGACATGGAAAATTAGGGCAGCACAAGAATCATTGTCCTCAAGAGATTGAATCCCTCCAGATTGAAAAACATTTGTCTTTTTGCTACATGAGATACTGGATCACTTCAGGTGTGGCGGATTCAGGTGTGGCAGATTCAGGTGTGGCAGGCTCAGTTCCAACTGTCACTTAAGTCTTCTTATTTTGCATAGTTTCTTGTGGCATTCCTTTTTGTCATGCTGCAAATGTGACAATCTGTGAAACTATTTCGTATTCCCCAAACTATTAGTATAAAAAAGGTGTGTGAGAAAGTTCAACCCTTCTCTAAAAGCTTGGCAAAGATATTTCTCTAACTGACAAACTCTGAAAGAGCTTTTTGGAAATTACATATTTGTGCAATTATACACAATGTTTACTTTTAACAGCATTCATGGTTAATGTTTAACAGTCTAACACAGCAACTATACAGTTTCCAACTTCACTGTATCTCTGTCTGATAATGGTAATATAATCCAGAGGAAGGCAATGGAGACATTTACATGATGAACAACAAAAACAGCTCCTGTTTCTCTGAGGTCATGGTGGAGAAAATAAAGATGAGAGATAAATGTTAGTTGTCTGCAAATCAAATTTATGTTCTTAAAGTCAAAGCCACAATTTTTTTTTTCCTTTACATGCATGACCTGTGATCGATCTATTGTATTTTTAAATAAAATTATTCATGAGAAGTGGGTATCACTGGCTACGTCAACAGGAGCACAAAAGGAGCCAAAAGATGATTAAACAATTGAACTGCTACTTAAAAGAAAGCTTCCATGGTGGTATACATTAATTTGTGTATGTGAAATAAAAAATGAAAAAATTCAAATTTATTTTCACAATGAGAGAATACACATGCTGTTTTTAGTATTAAGTTCCATAAAAGTCACCCTCATTTTCCAAATCAAATAACACACCTCAGTTTACTTCTTGAATCATATCAAATGGATCATTCTTATCATGATGATCAGCAATGCTGCCATCAGTCTCATTATTCCACAAATCATCTGTCTAATCAAGTATACTGGACATGCCATATTTCTTGTAAGCTTATCATTCTAATTTCACTCCAGACCTCTGCAGCCCCGTCACAGAGGGTTGCTAAAATAGAAGTCTGTATACTGTCTTCACTCATCCAGTCATTCTACTTTTTAATCCCTACCATGGTATCCTCGAAGGATATATTTCAGAGAGACATCCAACGCTTGGTGGGACTACTGGGAATCATTTCATGAAGCAGGATTCTTCTGCAATTGAATTCTCGCAGCAACTGCATTTAAGAGAGACTACTTTCTTCATCTAATGCCTGTGGTTGGAATCTCCAAACCTTCCTCAGCCACATTTTCAAGCTACTTTCATTCATCCTTTATAGTGAACGTGGGTTATTACTCCTCTTGGGAACTCCCGCTTTGGGATGGTTTGTCTCTTGACTAAGTATCAACACTGGCTTAAATTCTGTCTCATTAGGCATACCTGATAGCATGACAGTGAACCTACTCTTCTCACGTAGAGTGGTCTTTGTCTAACATTGTTTGACTAGCTGGCATTTCAAAATCCATGAGAGTATCATCCACGTTCCCAATACAGGTCAATCTGTATCCAAGTCTGTACTGATTTTTGATTAAGAACTTCTGAAATATGGTAAATTGGTTAGCTGTTCTAGGAGATGCATGGTGTTCTGACAGATGCATGGAAATCTTGTCTGCTATTGCATTGCAGCATTGTTTCTCTTCATAAATATGGCACACTATCCAGGGCTGCAAGTTTGATGACCAAGTTAGAATTGGGCTGCATACCTGTCATTCCATCTTTATTTAGTGTTGACATATTGGAGGACATGATTTGCAGGATCATAGCATTCACAAGTGAGGTGGTAATCTTGACAGCATACATCTACATGTAGAGACACAGTTCAATGTCCAACTTCAATTGTGAATTTGCTAATACTTGTGCATGAGTCATTATGACCTATACAAAGATAAGGGCCCATGGTGTCAGAAGCAAGGTGCTAGCATGGATAGAAGATTGGCTGTCTGGCAGAAAGCAGAGAATGGGGATAAAAGGGTCTTTCTCAGGATGGCAGCCGGTGACAAGTGGTGTTCCGCAAGGGTCAGTGCTGGGACCACAACTTTTCACTTTATACATTAATGATCTAGAAGAAGGAACTGTGGGTATTCTGGCTAAGTTTGCAGACGATACAAAGATAGGTGGAGGGACAAGTATTGAGGAGGTGGGGAGGCTGCAGAAGAATTTTGCTATGTGAGAAGAGTGGGCAAAAAAGTAGCAGATACAAGTACAACGTGGGAAAGTGTGAGGTCATGCACATTGGTAAGAAGAACAAAAGCATGGGCTATTTTCTAAAAGGGGAGAAAATTTGGAAGTCTGAAGTGCAAAGAGACTTGAGAGTTCTAGTCCAGGATTCTCTCAAGGTAAACTTGCAGGTTGAGTCAGTAGCTTGGAAGGCAAATGCAATGTTGGGATTTATTTTGAGAGGGCTTGAATATAAAAGCAGGGATGTACTACTGAGGCTTTATAAGGCTCTGGTCAGGCCACATTTGGAGTATTGCGAGCAGTTCTGGGCCCCATATCTCAGGAACGATGTACTGGCCCTGGAGCGGGTTTAAAGGAGGTTCACGAGAATAGTCCCAGGAATGAGAAGCTTAACATATATGAGGAACGTTTGAGGACTGTAAGACTACACTCATTGGAGTTTAGATGGATTTGGTTGGGGGGTGGGGTGGGGGGGGGGGGGCTGGGGTTTAATTGAAACTTACAGAATACTGAATGGCCTGGACAGAGAGTGGATGTTGGGAAGATGCTTCCATTGGTAGGAGAGACTAGGACCCGAGGGCACAGCCTTACAGTAAAGGGAAGACCTTTTAGAACGGAGATAAGGAGAAACTTCTTTTGCCAGAGTGGTAAATCTATGGAATTCACTGCCACAGAAGGCTGTGGAGGCCAGGTCATTGAGTACATTTAAGACCGAGATAGATAGGTTCTTGATTATCATGGGGATCAAGGGTTACGGGGAGAAAGCGGGAGAATGGGATTGAGGAACTTATTAGCCATGATCGAATGGCAGAGCAGACTCGATGGACTGAATGGCCTAATTTCTGCTCCTATGTCTTATGGTCTTACAAAGACTTGTTTGAATTCAGTAACAAGGAGGTGGTAAGTCGAGAGAGTTTGGGCATTTTGGGTTAAAAATTATGGGTCAACTTTTGACACCGAATCAATCAATATGGACTATATACAGTTAAGAACCTATGCAGACAAGATAGGCAGTACTTAGGAAATCCACTGTGTACAGAGCACCTTACTTCCATTGAAATATTGCATTAAATACCAACTGCGTAACATCCCTTTATCCTAAAAGAGGCACGTTACCACAAATCTATTAACAACAGAGCTGTGGTTTCTGCGATACATCCGTTCAATCACCACAAAGGCTTGTAAACAAAAAGGTCCCAATTAAACGTTAAGTCACATTTTGAAAACAATTATGTCAAACACACTTCTATTTAACCATAATTTTTCCTGCCCTTCAGTGAATATTAAAACCCTCATAACATCTCACGAACTTCTGTATTCTGACAAACATAACATGAAAAAATTCCAATGGCAAGATTAATTATTCATTTATCTCATTTGTAGGATTTCTTAGCATAAAAAAAATGGCTGTCATATTCAGCTCCATTTCAACAACTATTGCACACTTAAAAATCATTGTTAACTACATGAACCACAGACACAAGACAATACAGATACCACATTTTTTTCCAAACAGTGCGTTTATTTGCAAATTTTCTTCCGAAGAAAACAATTTCCATTTACCTGATTTGAGGTTAAATATAGAGTGCTAAAGTTATATACTCCAAGGATGTGCAGGGATACTCAAGAGAGAGTTGACAAAGTTAAAATTTCCTGTCCAAGGAATGCAAATCTGAAAGTAACTTGAAATCAAAAATATACTGCTAATCTCATGTCACCCCAAACAGGATTTTAGAAAGTGGCTGTGGGTACTTTGTGCATACCAAACAGTAACACAATAATCTGGTCAAATATGCTCCACCCCAGCAAGTACACTAGTTTCTTTTCCAGAATTTAAAAAAATGGTGAAACCTTAGCTCAGAGGAAATGTTCATGTTTTAATGCCAAAAGTGCATTACTCATTAGGTTTCAGCCCGACCTAGCCCTGCCCTGATCATTATTTCGTTATATTCAGGCATCCATGCAAATTGTCAACAGAAAATATGTAAAGGCTGTAATCTCCAAAACAGCTTTCATGTGTTCTAAGAGACACACCTTTGTACAAGATTTGTGATGCAACTCGTCTGAAGAATTTTGAATGCAGCAGAATCATAAAACATATTCATGCTGAAAGAATGCTGAACTGCAACCATTGTCTCTTTCTAGTAGCCACTGAACATCTGACATATTTCAGAGAGTAAATTAACTTGAAACAATTTACACTTATAAAATCCTTAACTAATACAAAGCATCCAAAAGTGCTTTAGATGCAATTGAGTACTTCTATAATGCGGAGAATTAATTTGCACACAGCGCTATGTCACAAATAGCAATAACAATCATCAGGTAATCTGTCTTTTTCAACCTTGAGATCTTTGACATCCAATTCAGAGAATGGACTTGGCTTTGGTTTAATGCCTCATTCACAAATGCAATACTACACAGTGCAACACCCCCTCATTGTTTCACTGATGCGTCAGCTTGGACTATGCATTAAATGTCTTTGAATGGCTTTAACTAATCATCTTTTAACTTAGAGGAAATGTGTTATAAAAAGGCCATCACTGAGTATAGCTTCAGAACAAATGGAACAGAAGGAGGCCATTCAACATTCCTAAGCCTTCATCATCAATTAATCAGAACAGGCAAGCTCTGTACCTCAACACTATTTACCTCCTTCCCTCCACATTTCTTGACTCCTTTACCTTATGATAACCTAGGGGCTTATCATGGGGCTAGGCAATGGCCTTAGTGGTATTATTGCTGGACGATTAATCCAGAAACTCAGCTAATGCTCTGGGGAAGTGGATGGCAGAATGTAGAATTTGAATTCAATGAAAAAGAAAACCTGGAATTAAGAATCTACTGATCATCATGAAATCATTGTTGATTGTCAGAAAAACCTATCTGGTTCACTAATGTCTTTCAGGGAAATAAATTTGCCATCTTCCCCTGGTCTGGCCTACATGTGACTCCAGACCCATAGCAGTGTGGTTGACTCTTAGTTGCCCTCTGAAATGGCCTAGCAAGCCATTCTGTTGTACCAATTGCTACAAAGGCTCAAAGAAATGAAACCAGATGGATCACCTGGCATTGACCTTGGCACGAGAAAAGACAACAGCAAAAATAGCCCCGTCAACCTGCAAAGTCCTCCTCACTAACATCTGGGGGGCTAGTGCCAAAATTGGGAGTGCTGCCTCACAGGCTAGTCAAGCAACAGCCTGACATACTCACTGAATCATACCTTGCAGACAACGTCCCAGACACCACCATCACTATCCCTGGTGATGTCCTGTCTCACTGGCAGGACAGGCCAACCGAGGTGGTAGCACAGCGGAATACAGTTAGGACAGAGTTGCTCTGGGAGTCCTCAACCTTGACTACATAGGCCACAAAGTCTCATGACTTCAGGTTAAACATGGGCAAGGAAACCTCCTACTGATTACCACATACAGTCCTCCCTCAGCTGATGAATCAGTACTCCTCCATTTTGAACAACACTTGGAGGAAGCACTGAGGATGGCAAGGGCACAAAATGTACTCTGGATGGGGGATTTCAATGTCCACTGCCAAACGTGGCAGTACTACAGACCTAGCTGGCTGGGTCCCAAAGGATATGGCTGCTAGACTGCGTCTGCAGCAGATGGTGAGGGAATCAACAAGGGAAAATGTACCTGACCTCATCCTTACCAATCTGCCAGCTGCAGTTACATTTGTCCATGACAGAATCACTAAGAGTGACCACTGCATAGTCCTTGTGGAGATGAAGCCTTGCCTTCACGTTGAGAATAATCTCCATCGTCTTGCATGGCACTATCACCGTGCTAAATGGGACAGACTTTGAACAGATCTAGCAACTCGAGACTGAGCATCCATGAGGCGCTGTGGGCCATCAACAGCAGCAGAACTGTACTGCAGCACAATCTGTAACCTCACGGCATATCCCCCACTCAACCATTACCATCAAGCCAGGGGGATCAACCCTGGTTCAATTGAGAGTGCTGGAAGGTATGCCAGAAGCAGCACTAGGCATATTTGAAGATGAGGTGTCAACCTGGTGAAGCCAAACAGGACTACTTGCACACCAAACAGCATAAGCAGTGAGTGACAGACAGAGCTAAGCGATCCCACAACTAACGGATCAGATCTAAGCTCTGCATCCTACCACAGCCAGTCATGAATGGTGGTGGATAATTAAACAACTCACTGGAGGAGGCAGCTCCACAAATATCCCCATCCTCAATGATGGAAGAGCCCAGCACATCAGTGCAAAAGATAAAGCCGAAGCATTCACAGCAATGGATGATCCACATCTGCCTCCTCCAGTGGTCCCCAGCATTACAGATACCAGTCTTCAGCCAATCTGATTCACTCCATATGGTATCAAGAAACGGTTGGAGGCTGGATACTGCAAATGATACAGGCCCCAACAATACTCTGGCAATAGCACTGAAGACTTGTGCTCCAGAACTTGCTGCTCCCCTAACGAAGCTGTTCCATTACAGTTACAACGCTGGCATCTACCCGACAATGTGGAAAATTGCCCAAGTATGTCCTGTACATAAAAAGTAGGACAACTCCAACACTGCCAATTACCACCCCATTTCATCAGTAAAGTGTCATCAACAGTGCTATCAAGCAACAACGCTCAGCAATAACCTGCCTAGTGATGTCCAGTTTGGGTTCTGCCAGGGCCACTCAGCTCCTGACCTCATTACAGCCTTGGCTCAAATACGGGCAAAAGACCCGAATTCCTCAGGAGAGAATGACAGTCCTTTACATCAAGGCTGCATTCAACAGAATGCGGCATCAAGGTACCCTAGCAAAACTGTAATCAGTGAGTTCGGGAGCAAACTCTCTGGTGGTTGGAGTCATACCTGCCACGTAGGAAGATGGTCAAGGTTGTTGGACGTCAATCATCTCAGCTCCAGGACGTCTCTGCAAGAATTCCATAGGGTAGTGTCCTTGGCCCAAACAGCTTCAGCTGCTACATCAATGACCTTCCCTCCATCATAAGGTCAGAAGTGGGGATGTTCACCGATAACTGCACAACGTTCAGCACCATTCGTGACTCCTCAGGCACTGAAGCAGTCCCTGTTCAAATGCAACAAGATCTAGACAATATCTAGGCTTGGGCTGACAAGTGGCAAGTAACATTCACGCTACACAAATGCCAGACCATCACCAATAAAAGACAATCTAACGACCTGCCCTTGGCATTCAACAGTTTTACCATCACTGAATCTCCCACTATCAACATCCTGGGCATTATCATTGACAAGAGACTCAACTGGACTCACCACATAAACACAATGGCTACAAGAGGAGGTCAGAAGCTAGGAATACTGCAGCAAGTAACTCATCTCCTGACTCCTCAAAGCCTATCTGCCATCTACAAGGCACAAGTCAGGTGTGTGATGGAACACTTGCCGCCTGCCTGGATGAGTGCAGCTCCAACAACACTCAAGAAGCTTGACACCATCCAGGTCAAAGCAGCTCACTTGAGTGGCACTACATTCACAAGCATCCACTCCCTCCACCACCGATGGTCAGTACGCACCATTGCTATTATCTACAAGATGCACTGCATAAATTCACCAAAGATCCTCAGACAGCACCTTCCAAACCCATGGCCACTTCCATCTAGAAGGACAAGGGCAGCAGGCATATGGGAACACCACCAGCTTCAAGATCCCCTCCAAGTTCCTTCACTGTCACTGGGTCAAAATCCCGAAATTCCCACCCTAACGGTATTGTGGGTCAACACACAAGTGGACTGGAACGGTTCAAGAAGGCAGCTCATCACCACCTTTGAGGGTAACTAAGGTTGGGCAATAAATGCCCATATTCCACAAATGGGTAAGTGAACCTTTTGATGGCACTCTTAGAAATTCTAATTATCCTTGCATCCACTGCCTTTTGGGAAGTGTGTTTCAGATTTCTACTAAGGTCATATAGCAAGAAAACAGGCCCTTTGGCACAACTTGTCCATGCTGACCACAAAATTGAACTAGTCTCATTTGCTTGCGTTTGGCCCATATCCCAAAACAAAACAGCTAGTCATTGACTTCAGAAAGCAGAGTAGAGTGCACGCCCCAGTCTGCGTCAATGGTTCGGAGGTGGAGATGGCCAGCAGCATCAAGTTCCTGGGGAGTGATGATCACCCAACAATCAGTCCTGGTCCGCCCACATTGACATGATGGTCAAAAAAAAACAAAAATCACAACACCTCTACTTCTGCAAAAGGTTAAGGAAATTTGGCATGTCCACAAAGACTCTTACCAATTTTATAGAAACATCAGAAAAAATCCTATCCGGATGCATCACAGCATGGTATGGCAACTGCTCTGCCTAAGACTGCAAAAGCTAGAGAGTTATGAGCCAGCTTTCCATCCACTGACTCCATCCATACTTCTTGCTGCCTCAGTAAAGCAACCAAGATAATCAAAGACCCCTCCCACACCAGTCATACTCTCTTCCACCCTCTTCAGTTGGCCAGAAGATATAAAAGTTTGAATACACATATGATCAGGTTCAAGAACAGCTTCCTCTCTGCAGTTATCAGACTTTGCAATGAACCTCTCAAATGTTAAATTTTGATTCTCTCTCTGTGGCTGTAACACTATATTCTGTTTGACAATTTATTTGTCACACTATACATATGTGAACATGTGAGATGTCCTGCTCAATGTAAAAGCATGGATTGTTTAAAATTCTTAGCTAGATTTAAAGGAGCCGAATGCCTTTGTAAACCAGAGACAGCCTTAATAGCCACAAGAAACTTTCTAATATGCAGCTTGTTCCACATTCTTCAGCCAGCTGTCATAAGGATAATGTTACGCTGATACTGAATAATGTTAAGACAACATTTGTTTTACTCATTTTTCATCCAACATCCAATGCTTTAGAAATATTAAATTTCACTGAAAGAGGAGGACTTGGCTAATTTTCTGTCATCCGTTTGTTACTTAATACCAACTTAGATTTGGCAGCAAATAGAACCAACTATGCTTAAGCTGCAGAAATACTTATACTCAAAAATTAAGCCTCAAAAGAAAATGCATAGAATTTTAAAATTCATAATTAATGTGCCCTCTTGCAACTCCAGAATGGAGGCATTTATGCTATCATTTTGTGAAAATACCACAATGGACAACTGGATGCAGCTTCACCTGTCCTGGTTCTTATAGTTATGGATGTATGTTTTCCTTTTAATTCCAAAGCCATCTTACCCGGTTTTCAGTTCTCATGCTTTTCTGCCTCCAAACATTTCTTGCAAGTGTGATCAATAAATTGCCTTATATGCAAAACTGTAAGGGCATGCCTTTCAGGTAAATTCATGGTCAGTCTTGGATTTGGCATTGGGAGTCACAACTAACTCAGATGCAAAGACTGCCCTAGAAGAGAACACGTGACGGTGTTTAGTATAAACAATTCCCCTCATACAATTAGAGGAAGTTGAAATTTTAAACAATAAAACTTATTAAAATGGATTATTGTACATGTTGTTTTATCAATTTGCATGTTCTTTTACAGTGCAAAGAATCTGTTTGCCAGTTAAAGCTTTAATGAAAGTTAACTACATTTGCAGCCCTCCAAAGACGCTGAAGTGGACAGAAAATATATTCTTTGCTTATTCTACAAGCATGACATAAATTTACCTGGATATAATGACAAAAGTTAACGTGCGCCATGGAAAGACCTCAATCATGGAAGCCAAAAGTTTCTAGCATTGAAAGAAAACAAAATAACTCTAAGACGCAATACCAATCATTAGTATTCAGGTCAGAAAAGAACTTCAATATACTATCCAATTCTTAAGTATTCTACTACAACTGAGCATCTCTGTAAACAAGTTCTCAGTTCAAAAGAACTTTCAGCTCAAAGAAATGAAAGGTCGATGTGAACTCCATCTGGTCCAACATGACTATGTTCTTGGCAGCGGAATAAAAACTGACTACTGAGCCGAAAAACTTCATTGAGAAAATATTAAAGGCTAATTGTACTGGGCATCTTTCAATGACTCACTAGACAGAAACTAGTTAGTTGACAGTCTAAGTAAGCATTGTAGCAATTTCAATGCAACCTTTAAGGAAAGTTGCCAGCTCCAGCTCAGTTAAATAGAGGGTTAGTAGAAGGCAGCATCTCACTGGAAGAGAAACATGCTAAATCCAAGAAGAAGGGTCCAGACCCGAAACATCAGCTTTCCTGCTCCTCTGATGCTGCTTGGCCTGCTGTGTTCATCCAGCTCTACACCTTGTTATCTTAAATCCAAGATAATAAGGTTTTCAAGTGTGACCAGCCAACATCACAGCAATCCCACATATCATGGGAAGGCTAAAATAAACTTGATAAATTTAAAAGACAATGAATTATTCTGTCAATTTATCACTAACACAAATATGTGTATGTCTGGAAACATACATGTACATATGTATGTATGGAAGACATTCAATAAACAGCCATGAGACTAGTGTATGCAAAAGATCTAAGCTGGAATCTTTGGTTTAACATTTTTGAAGAGGTTATCGACAATAATACTGATATTTGCTAATGATACTAAGTTAGAGTATTACAAACTGGGATTAAGACAAGATATGAGCATTATTAAAGACGGCATAAAGTTCAACATATCTCCTATGTGAAAACAAGGACAGCCTACATGTAGTCAACACTATTCACAACCAAGCATTTGCAACTACCACTGGAGTCAACTATAATTGTGCTGTTTACAGCATATTAAGCTCACATAGTAAATACAGTTCAATAGGCTCTTCATTAATTTTTGTTAATTCCCTCTATTTGCAAAAATGGCCCTTGGCCTTGGTGACTGAAATCAAAAAAACACAGAATAGTCATAAAAGTCAAGAGGGAGAGAGATTAGGAAAGAAACAAACAACTGAAATTGGCCATTAATTCAGAGCTGGTGCTTAATCTAAGATCCTAACAATAATCTATTTTCAACAGGCTGAAATTGAACAAGCTAGCTTTGGTCCGCTAAATCAACATGCTTTGCCACCAAAATAATGGCCATGTCAATGACATTCGCTGTCATTTTTGTTCAAATAACCCAGCAACTTCAAGTGACAGGTGTACAATTAAAAAGCAGAAACTGAGACAGCACTATCATAAATGTGCTACTCTGCTATTAGCTTTGTAAAAATAGCAGTTTGCAAACCGGTTCCCATTTAGCACCAAGTGGAATGAAACTCGTGTTTGCATGGCAGATGTTTAAACTGCCACAGAAAGTCATTACAAGTTAAAGCACATTTAATGGAGTTCAGCATTAAATGCTTCCAGTCAATCTCTCTGCTACAGAAAAGTAACAACATTACACGAGTATAAGTATGGAATCCAACTCCTTCAGATGTTAAATGTTCTTGGAGACTTTTTCAAAATTAAAAAAAAAATCTCAATTCCCTCTTGATGTCTTTCTTTATCCTGGCCATCTCTCTGTCTACCCAATTTGACAAATTTATCATTTTAATTTAGAATGAATTTTGTATTTCTTTAATTTTTAAATCAGTAAGGAGATGTATAGCTGATTAACCTGTAAAAGATGACACACTGTTTGTTTCTTTCTCCCACAGCCAGAGTACAAAACTGCAGGGAGATTAATCATACATCGTCAAGCCTAACTAACTAGAAAGGCAGGAAATGGTTGACTGATTAGAGAGCTATCAGGGTTCAACTACTCACTGTTTATCATAGGCAAATTGCATTAATACCAACACATTTAGTGTAAGTGGTATACATTGTGTATCTTATATTTCAAAAATCAGAAGTGGAGGAACAGAAAGATCTAAGGGTGCTTGATGCTTGTCTCACTTTTCTTAAAAGAAAACTGTGCAGCAAGTTGCTCCTTCTAACAAAATATTTCAAGACATTAATCTGGCAAAGGTAGACAAATTTCTGCATCAGATACCCAATCTTGTAACATTTTAAGGTGAAGAGCAACACATACACCAAGCTAGGGGGTTGACCATGATCAGTGAGATAAAACATTTTGCTGGAAATGGCAAAGATGGACAACAATGGTTAATGTATACATTAATATTTCATACCATGGCAAAGAAAGAAAGAAAGAAAGGCTGGTCAGTGGAGATTTAGAAAGTAACCTGGAGTTTCCACCAACTCCTTTAAAATGTCCCCTCGAGACACAAACCAACACAGGTACTCAGAAGGAATTGTAGTTGGAAGTGAGGCAGATAGAAAATACCATAAAAGCCAATAGGCTTTTGGGATTTATTCATAGGAATATTGATTATGAAAAGGAGGTGACATTGAACTAGTGCAAAAACATTTGGTCACATCATTGGAAGTACTCCAGTTCCAAACATTCCATGCATTTGGATAATAGAACCATGTTAAAGTCACAGAAAAGCTTCACCAGAATTACAGTAGGGATGAAAAGTTCATAACTAAGAACAAGAAACAGTTGTTGGTAACAAAAAGAGATGATGCTGGAAAAGCTCAGCAGGTCTGGAGGCATCTGTGAACAGGAATCAGAGTTAATGTTTTGGGTCCGGTGTCCCTTCCCCCGAACCGATGATAGTTCTAAGGAAGGGTCACCGGACCCAAAACGTTACTCTGATTTCTCTCCACAGATGCTGCCAGACCTGCTGAGCTTTTCCAGCAACTTATCTTGTTGTTTCTGATTTACAGCGTCCGCAGTTCCTTTGGTTTTTAAACTGTTGATCATTGGAATACAGAAGATTATTTGGGCAGGGTGGGGCGAAGAGGTTTTGGTTATGGAAAATTAAAACACTTCAAAGCTATGTCCCACTTTGAAAAGATAAACAGATTGCTATCACAGCAAAGGGTTATAATTTCAAAAGTTAAAAAGACAAAATAATTCACACAACAGGATAATGGGAGCACAGGTGATTTACCACAAATGATTACACAGATACAAGCTATAATTTAAAAGTAGGATTTGGAAGTACTTGAAAGGTAGAGCCATAATCAGGGAAAGAGCACTAAGTGTTAAATTTGAAGAGCTACAACATAAATAGGTGGGCCTCTCTGCCAAAAAATGAACGATGACCTGATGTCTATGGCAGACAGGTGTGGAGTTGACTGTATCAGTAAATATCCAATTGTGTAATCTTTTAAGTTTCCCTCAGATTTTCCATTCCAAGACAGATGACAATCAGTATCTCACCATATTATAACAAATGGGAAATGATTTTATGTGACTACCAACAGAGAAAATAAACTATTTTAAAGTGCCTGTATTCTGAATTCATCACTTCAACATAGTTCCTTTTTAGATTACTAAAACTAAGCACATAGAGGGCAAACAGAAGACTTGCTCTATTTCCTCAGTGTCACTTTGCAGCCCTGCACGAGAAAAGTACAGGACAAACGCACAAGACATCTTGTCTTCTGATTTCCCTTGCACCCAATGAAGCACCTTACTTTACAAGCACTCAAAAATCCCTTCAAACACAGGTCATCACACAGATTCATGCCTGTGTTTCCAACCTGCAACTGTTTGACACAGACCAACATGTTATAGCTGGGTGAATTCCATTCTCTACTGAACTTATATTACTGTTGTCCTGAGGCAATAAATTTTCAAACATTTGAAGGACATTATGATAGAATTAAAACATCAGGTTCTAAAGTAATATCGATATTACAATACCCAGTGTAAAAAGAGACTACGTTCGACATTTCTTTTATTCACTCGTTGATGTTCGAAACATCCAAGATAACTAGAAAACATTTTATTCTGGGCACAATCTGCAAAACTCTACTGGCATCAGGATTATACAGATTGATCAGCAAGCTGCTCAGTAAGATTTAAACCCAACAGGATTTAATTGCAACATTATCTGTGCAAAATGTTGTGCAGCTCCACGGAGGCAGGGAACTGTTCTGCAGTTACAGAAATTTAAGCTTCACAGGTTTAAACAAAATGACAAATAATTGAATTAATTGTTTGTATTGAGATTGGAGCAACACACAGTAATCATCCCTGTATCGGATTTTATCTGCCCACATACATAAAGTTTACATACATAGCCAAGAGGAGACTGCCTGATTTCTTTAAAACAAGCTATTTTAAAAGGCTACAATTTGTAACTTGCTACAAATGTGTTCAGGCTCTACAGAAAGCAGGGTTACATACAATGTCTCAAACACCAACATAATAGAAGAATTAACAAAGTTATGCATTGACAAATTCAAGATGAATTTATAACCTGTACTCTACAGTTAGCTTCCATCTCTTTCAATTGTCCAATCTAAAGTCAGAATAGGTTTGGTCAATAATTTGGTATTAAGTGTCACTTTTAGACCACCCATAGATGAAGACACTTAATTTAGGGAGATAATTTAAAATATTCATATAACATTACCAATTTACAATGTTGCTGATGAAATGTTGGTGTGTAATTTGCCAAGTCATATAATTTTCCCATATACATAACTCTATACAAATTTTGCCTGAAGGTTAACAAATTACTTGTGATCCATCTTCAAAGTAACCAAATAAAACAACCCTCGCAATCACACAAGTTGAAATTTAATTTGCCTCAAATTCAGAGCATAACCAGTAACAGATCTCATGCAATAAAGTAGATCTAACTAGAAATAATTAGCTAAATTTTTGAAAGTCTACGCTCCTTTTATATCTTACAGGATTTACACATGTAATGATCCTCACACATACATGTGTAGGTGGGTAATTTGATAAAAGGGGAGCTTCCATGTTTGTTAAAGTAATGGCTTGTTGGGTTAGTTGCAGTGTTCAATAAAACAAAAACATGGGTCCTCTCTGCCTGACCACAAACGCTCACTGACCCATCTTTCCCAGGCCCATCAATGCTGGTTCGCCCCTTGATATTCATCATTAGGATCTCATTATATTGTACATCAAAATCTTACAACTTTTAAAAAATGATATTGTTCCTTTTGCATTTTCATGTTTCACTATCTCATGCCTCAAATTTAATAAACTAATAAGTTAATTTAATAAGCATTCACCAAAAAAAATTCACAACCCTTAGGGATCACACTGTGTACTGTCAAAGAACCAATGACATGTAAATAATCCATTAATCTCAGATTTATTGAAAAAAATACAATCTGACTAGGGTTTTACTACTTGAAGCAATAACTGCCCAAGAATGCGATTAAAACTCCCTTAAACATAACTTAATAAGGTACCTTGAAGGAAAATCAGAGACTCCTAGATCAAAGTTAGTACCATCACCCCACTCTCTTTGCATAAAATCTGTTCTTCAGGACATAGTGCTTGAGACTGATCATAAACTTACTGATTACTGAGAGTGATACAAACCATGTAGGCGCAATGTTTAACCGTTACAAGGCAACATTATAACGGTTTATTTTGTCACTCCCTAACCATCCGGTTAGCTTCATTTGTGTTATATCCAGTGATTTGCCTTTCAACTTTCAAGAATTATAATTCTCCTGCCCAGTGTCAGGATAACCGAGACTGCTCATTTATCAGTCTCCACAGCTGCTGCCCACTCTCATACTGCACCAAGCTCCGCAGTGAAAAAGCACACACTCACTTTTTCTTGTACTCGTCCCGTTCCCTTTTCACTTTGGCCAGCACATTGTACAGGGCCCGCAGCTCGGGGGTGATGGTATCGATCTGGACACCGACTCCGTCCGGGTGGGTCCAAGACACGCCGGGTCCCTGCACCGTCTCTAGGCCGCCTCCCACCTTTCTGATGTGAGTGAAGCTCCAAATAGTTCCGGGGAGGCGGCTCGGGTAATGGTGGTGAGGCAGAGACCCCGAGCCGGGGGTGTAAGCGGAGACGGTACCGGGAGTATAAGCGGAACTGGTGGCCGTACCAGGTGTGTAACCGGCGCCGGGAGGAAAACCGGCACCGGGTGTGTAGCCGGAGCCGGGAGAAAAACCAGCACCGGGAGTGTAGCCGGAGCCGGCAGGAAAACCAGCACCGGGTGTGTAGCTGGAGCCGGGAGAAAAACCAGCACCGGGTGTGTAGCCGGAGCCGGCACCGGGAGTGTAGCCGGAGCCGGCAGGAAAACCAGCACCGGGTGTGTAGCTGGAGCCGGTACCGATACCCAGAGAGAAACTGGCACCGGGTGTGTAGCCGGAGGCGGTATTAGAGAAACCAGCTCCGGGTGTGTAACCGGATCCGGTGCTGGGGGAGAAACCGGATCCGGGTGTGTATGTGGAACTGGGAGTATAACCGTAACTGCCGACCGAGTAACTGTAGCAATCCAGCAACGTCTGGGTGGCTACAGCCCGGGTGCGGCCCAGCCGGTTCCTCCGCAGCCCCTGGGCCGCCTGCAGCTGCTTCTCCAGTAGCTTGTTGCGTCGCTCTAGCTCATGGACCTTGGCCAGAAAGCAGCGGAAGCGCAGGTTGAGGGTCTTGAGGTGGTTGATGTTGGAGCCCAAGTCGTTCCGCAGCGCCAGCGTGACGGGGTTGGGCTCAGACAGGCCGCAGCTCAGCAGCGGAGGCATCGCCGCCGGGTTCATGGTCAGGGCTGGACACTGGGAATCAGTGAAGCGGCCGCGGGCAAGAGCCCATGGCCCGGGAAGAGAGACGAGCAGGGCTGGGCAGGGGCCGGACGCCGCCTGGTCCTCGGTTCGCTGGTGGGGTGCCGGTCCCAGGCCTCACGTCCGAGCCGGACAAACACTTCAGAGCAAAATAGCGTCGCGGCCGGCTTCAGGGTGACTGTAAAACCGCAGCGTCAGAGCTGGAGGCTGGGTCTAGCTGCGGGGCGGGGACATATTGGGTTCTACCCCCACACGGCTCGAGCTCACTGGCAGGGAACGCGCGAGCGGTTCCCGCCTTTTCCTGAGCGTGCTCGAGCTGGAACTGTTGTACAATGTGTTGAAGGGCGAAGCCCTGTTTTTGATTTTAACATCTGCCGTCCCATTTTAATTCCGCCTCTTCGCATATTTCCCGTCTTGTCTTTTCTCCATTTCGCTTTTGGGCAAGCAGCCGCTCGTCGTTCTGTCATTCGTTGCTCCTCAGAACTCTTTCTTGATTTATTAATATTCTCCTTGGCTGTGTTCTAACCATTCTTGTTATTTAATGTCTCATCTCATTTTCCATATCACTGACCTTCCCTTCTTTTCTCACTTTTCCCATTTGACCCACTTAAAGTCTGTTACATTTCTAACTATTTAAAGTTCTAATGAAAAGTCATTGACCTAAAATGGTAACTCTTGTTTTTTTGTCCACAGATGCTACCTTACATGCTGAGTGTTTCCAGAATTTTCTGTTTATATTTCAGATTTCCAGCAATTGCAGTATTGTGGTTTTGTAACTTTGACCAAGCTTTTGGTCATTCTGGCCCTTTTTCTGAAGAAGGGTCTTGACCCGAAATGTCAACTTTCCTGCTCCTCTGATGCTGCTTGGCCTGCTGTGTTCATCCAGCTCTACACCTTGTTATCTAACTATCTGAGGACCCAGGTTCGAATCCTACCACGGCAGATAGTGGAATTTGAATTCAATAAATATCTAGTATTAAGAAGCTAATGATGACCATGAATCCATTGTCAGGAAAAACCCATCTGGTTCATTAATGCCCTTTAGGGAAGGGAAGTGCCATCCTTACCTGGTCTGGCCTAAATGTGACTCCAGACCCACAGCAATGTCATTGACTCTTAACTGCCCTCTGGGCAATTTGGGATGGGCAATAAATGCTGTTTGGCCAGCAATGCCCTCATCCCATGAATGAATAAAAAACAATTGACTCCAGTCTTTTTTAATTCCTTCTCGGTTGGTTGCAACAATACTTTTTATGCATGCATTTATATTACTTAAAATGAGCTTTACCAAAAATGACCAAATGGCCAATTACAAAGGTCCCTTTGAGGAAGAGGAATTTTATTATGTGCTAACCCTGAGAAAAATGAAAAAATGGGATATCCAACATGCCCTCAAGCACAGGTAATAAATTTAAAAGGGACCGTGTCTGGTACTGATGGGGAGAAATAAGGCTACGCTGTTTATAAGTCATTATGGGGATGTTACAGTTTTTTTCTTACAAATTCACATTTATATTCTGCTCAAAAATACTGTTGCAACAGGGTCCATTTGTCTATTCCAAAGTCTGCTTTCAATGTCTTTCTAAGCTGAATATTATCAAGATAAGTTTACATGTTGGGAAATGTACCAGAATACAAATTTCTAGATGTTGACATAGTAGGGTTTTACTGCTCTAATTGCTTTTCTAAAGGCTTATTTCCCCTCTAACTGATTATAATTTTTTTTTTAGAAAACAGATCATGTTCTTAGTGATTTTTTCCAGAGGAGTTTTCTATTCGGAGATGTTTCCTAGTCAGCAGCTGATCAACTCTGTGCCTTTTTAGACTGTGAGCTGATCTTAAAAACTGTCAAAGATTTTTTGAAAATGTTATTTTCAGTTCTCCTCCAGACAATCTCAGATTGTTTCTTAATCTTCACTCCTGCCACAACTTTCTAGGTAGTATTGTTGTCACTATCTTTCATTGTGTGGTTTGATGCTACACTATGAGTTTGGGTTCAAGATAGACTGTTCAAGGAGAAGCCAAGTCAAGAACTGTCTTCAAGCTTAGACCACAAAGTAACATGATTTATTATGCATTAATACTAAATACATGGTAATCATAGATATACCAGCCTCTGAGTTATAGTTATACTCGGTAAAGATGGAACTATCTTTTTCGTATGTTCATGTCCAGGTGCCTTTTCTTATTTATTCAAGAAATGTAGGCTTTACTGGCTGGGCCTGCATTTATTGCTCATTAATAATTACCCTTAAGAGCAAGATGGTGAGTTGCGTTGTTGAACCGTTGTAAGTCCATGTGGTGTAGCTATATCCACAATGCTGTTTGTAGATTTTGACCCAGCAGTGAAGAAATGGCAATATATTTCTAAGTCAGTATAATGAGAAGTCTGTAGAGCAACTTGCATGTATGCAACTTCCCATGTATCTACTACCCTCGCCCTTCTAGATAATAATGTTCAGGAGTTTGGAATATGCTATCTAAGGCGTCTTGGAGAGCTCTAGATGTGTCTTTTGGAGAAAGAGTATTCCAACTCTGTCCCACACTGTGCTATTTATACTTAATGATTTGCAAGTCATCGCAAGGTTGCTGCAGGGTTCTGAAACCCTTACACAACTCTGTCCATGTTCTATCTTGCACCTTCCTGCTTATCCATCACTCCTGTTGTCTTCTATCTTGGCTTTCAATTGCCCTCCCACCTTTAATTACCACCTTTCAGCTCCCAATCTCTTTCTCACTTCGAGCTGCAATTCCAAAGCCACATCCGATGTAATCCCAAACTCTCCATTCTAGCCATTTGTGAAATTTCCCTCTCTTCATCACATCACAGGCAGCTGTGCCTTTAACTTTGTAGGCCCTGTGCTCTGAATTGCTTTATCTAAATCCTTCCACTTGTTCATTTCCTTTATCTTTCAAAACTGATACCTTTTGGTCCCTCTTCTTCCCACCTCCTTTATTTGGCATCCATCTATTACATTAATGTGAAACGCATTAAGACACATCCTATGTGTAAATCGCTACAATATCTTGCGTTTGTACAATGTCTTTATTGTTATGTCGAACAGCAGTTTTTATGTTGTAACATCATGAGCAAAATATCAGTACTAGAGGAATGAGATCATATAATATAGTTAAGACATGATGTATGATAACATGAAAACACCTGAAATCAGTTGTTTCAATCTTTGCAATTTGGTGAATGCTTGAAATATTTACATGCTCCAATACTGACACTCTCTTAGAAGATCTTGCAAATGTTTGCCCTCTTCCAGGACCTTTGTTCTAACTTCCAAAACACTGGTTATCCATGAAATGTATTACCATTATTGCAGCTATTGCAACAAGTGCTAATGAGTCAAGTACAAAAAATATAAAAGTGTACTTATGTATGCCAGGACCCAGACACACAGACAGAAAACTGACCTCTGGAATCCCAATTTCAAAATGATAGTCTAAATTATCAAAACAGAAAACTCCTTAGTTGGCGGTCTCTCCACACTGCGCCTTGGTGGCATCTGCCCCAAGTTTTAGTGTGGCCCTCAGCACATAGTCCTGGATCTTGGAACATGCCAGTCCACAACACTCGGTCCAGATCAGTTCTCCACACTGAAACTTCAACAAATTTCGGGCAGATCATAGAGCGTCTTTCACCGGTTGATGGTCTTCTAAGTGCAGGAGATGTTTCGGTGTGTGTTGCGGAGAACAAACCTAGAGCACAGTGTCCAGCGTCACGGAGCAGTGTGGGATGAACCTCAACAAGAACCATTGCACCTCTCTCCACATTTGCTTTGCAAAGGAACATGCCAGCAGGAGATGTATGACAGTGTCCCCCACCGCCCCCCCACCCCCGGCAGCTGCTTCATGGCCAGTATGTGGTGCCATTAGAGAGTCCGGGCATACATGAAGCATCTCACAGTTACTGCCCTTCTCACCACCAAGCTATGTCTTGGTGCTTGTTGGAAAGCTCTAGTGATGAGGCATTCTGCCAAATCACTTTGACAGTCTGCTCAGGGAACAACCCAACAGGATCCACCCTCACCTTTTCCTGCAAGGCCTCGAGGATGGTTCATGCTGACCTGATGGACTTGTGGTCAAAGATGTTTTTCTTTGAAAGTACAATGAGGCCCCTTCAGTTATCGGACCTACCTGGTATCTCAAATAGATGTAATAGTATCTTGCATAAGTAAGAAATGCCTTTGGATTTGTTGGAACTGTTGGGAAGTCAAACTCCAATGTTTGTTTGTTCTCCATATGCTAAGCGTATAGAACTGAACTGTTTTTGTCATTAAAAAAAATTATATAGACTAAGTGTAGTTTTGAAATAAACAAAAATCAAAGGATGGCTCCTTCATCTTTGGCTCGAACAAGTTTAAGCTCCAAGTTCCGAGTCATCAGAGAATTTTGAGATCATCGCTGGACTGTGATTGTATCTTGGAGGATCGTTGATTGAACTGAGCTGCTATTGGTGAATTTTTATCCTGGCTTCAGCCTAACAGAAATTCAGTGTGCACTCAACCAAAGCTATGAGCACTGCAAGTGCCTGAGCCCCAGGCCAGGATGTCCAGAACACAGTAAGGGTGACTATGAAAAAGGTGGAGGAAGGAATGCCAGTCAATCAGACATTCTTCATGAAGTGGATCGTCTGAAGTGCTGGGTTCGAAGAAGTACATATTTTCTGTCTGCAGGATTCCCTCAGTGAGTTGGGGGGTGCGGGGGTGCTGGTGGTGGTGTTTCAATATGATCTTCTGGACTGTGAAGCAATGTGATCGTCTCCTGAGGTATATCAAGGGAAAGGAGGTAAGGGCCCTGTCTCTGTCCTGTTTGTGGCACCATTGTTCATCCTCCCAGCACAATGGAGCTGGGTTGTTACAATCCATCTGTACAACACCGACATCCCAGCAGCAAATGTCCTGACATTCTTCGGAAGGTAAGTATAGCTTGAAGGGGGCAACATTGATATTGTGGAGCCCTTAGGATCTGGACCAGCAAGGCAGGTCGAGAAGACTCTGAAGGCGGATGCCAGTGGGAATATCCTCCACCCATCCTTCAGCTTTGCAATTGGAGGAAGCTGAGCCTACCTGACATATATGGGGCTGCCCAGAATGTGCCAAATTTGTAAGAGGTCAGGGCACAAGGCATCAGACTGCAAAATCACCCTCTGCAGGAACTGCAAACAGGAGGAGCACG